AACAGTGTCACCCCTGCCAGCCTGCCCCTTTGACTTGAGCTTTCCAGTGCAGAGCAGGGACATTCCCTTCAGTCTACCCAATGCCTCAGTGGCCATTCATTACAGAGATGGATGTGGGACCAGATAAGCATTCACCTTTCAGAACATTATGTATTGCTATTCACCATGTTTCTGCAGCAAAGGGGAAAGAACTCTGTATACACTCTGGGTATATAGACACTAAGTTTTATCTCGTTACAATGAACTCCATCTATATCTAACAAATGCTAACTGTAGAAAAACTGTAATAGAATATATTTTTTCCATTTTTTATGTTAATAGTTACATTCTTCTACTGAGCCAGCACCATTACTCCTCAAATTCTGTAATATGCTTATAACTTTTATATTTCATCATGAGTACAGATGAACAGAATTCTAACATAAAACCAAAATTTCCAAGACATGTCAGGAAAATTAATTTAAGAGTGGTTGCATAGGGTTTTTTATTTTTTTTTTTAATTAGAAGAGAGCAGAATCTTACCTGAAATCTATCAGCTGTATTTATCTATCTGATGCTGCTAACAGTCCTCTGACTGACCATTAACACTACTCAGCCTAAAGCCACTAGTGATGAAAAAGGCCTAGAGGATGTTGGAGGAATGGGAGGGAGGACACAATGGGTGGGATGCGAAAAGAACCATGGGGTGAAAGACAGCACAGAAGAGTGGAGAAATTTAATAGTCTGTGATGGAAAGAGGCTTGCTTATGTATCGTGGCTAGAGATGGCAAATCTGCTCTGCAGGGGACCTGGCATGGAGTACCTGTATGTACCAAGATACAACCACTTGTAAAAGCTCTTTGAAAGATCTTGCTTTCTTGTAACAGAAAAGCAGCACTGATATGGAAAGTCTGTCATTCATATCCCCACCAGCAAAAATAGCAGTTTATGTTCAGGTCACAAATTGAAGGTTAGCTATACAACCTTAACAGCTAAAGTACTTTGTAAGTAAATAAACAAAAGTTCAAGATAACTCAAAAACTAATTCCTGTCTCTGCTGAATTTTACGTTTGGTGGTGTGCGAGCATGTGTTCACACACACAGAACATCACCCACTGAATAAGTTTATCAATGGATCCTGATATGGTTCAGTTCCTTTTCTCACAACTAACGACGTTTTTTTCCACCTCTGTTGACCCAGAGTTCATCAGCAGGTCAGTGCTAAGGAAGAAGGTAAGAACCAGTACGGAAAGTGTAACCCTGTCTATTGCTTAGATTCTGGGAACTTTAACCTCTGTTTGGAAAGCGTGACTAATAAGACGGAACAAATATTCTCCCAAGAGATGTAAACCATGCGTCAACTTCAAAATACAAAAATGCTTGCATGTTTTTTTCCTTTTTTTTTTTAAAGAGGAACTTTTTTAATTTTTAAAGATGTGTGTATATGTAACATTATGTAGTAGTTAACTGAAGGCCAGAGTGCCAAGCCCTGGTACAGAATGATATTCTTCTGAACTCTACTTCAGTTTAAAGGAACTGATGAATATTTTAGTTGATTTTCTTTTCTGAGTAATTATTGTTTCTGAAATACCTAGTATACAGTCACAGGATTAAAAAATACACTTCTTAGCAAAGCAGGATAAATATTGAGCAAAATAATTATTGGAAAGAATCTTTAATTTACATTTTTTTCCAAATTTGTAATTACCCTTCCAAACACTAATTCCACAAACATCTAAATGAAGTTTAAGTGATTTCTTTGAAACTAGGCTGAATTTTCTCACCTGAGCAAGTGACATTGTTCTCTGTTAATAACTGACTTATGAATAATAACTTTTCATACATTGATGCTTTCAACAACATGATTATATTGATTTGAAGTATTTGGAGCAGACTTGCATTTGAGCACTGCTGGCTGCCAAGTTTAAGACTGCACAGCAATAACATTCACAGTTTACTTGCTTCTTACTTTCCTTTTCTTATTTTTACTTTTGTTTTGTTCAATATTAGTATTAAAAGCTAGCAGTTTTTGCTAGTGTAGGGTTGAGGCTCACCCAAATCACTGGACACTGAGTGGCCGATAGTATTTTGTCTGTTTAGGGTACTGATTAATAATTTCTCAGAGTGGTTTTACAAACTGGTAGGCTCCACACAATGATGTTTGCAGTTACCACACTACCAACAGGCTTCATGTAAGAGCAAAGCCTTATTCTGATAGTTGACATGTAGATTACTGAGGATATTAAAATCTGAGTAAACAAAAAGTGTAGGAAGAAAGAATTACTGTCCCTATTTTACAGATATTGAACCAAGGAAGATAAAAAGAATAGTTTGTTGAAGGCTATCTGATCTTCTAGACCTTGTGAACGAGTCCTTGTCCAGTTCTGCTAAAGAGAATATTACTCCTTTCTGGCAGAATCAGAGGGGTGGCTGCTCTCTGCATCAACTAGAGCTCACCCTTCCTGCTGTAGCTGTAACTGCGCTTTTTAGATCTGGCAGCACTCTATTCCAAACTCAAAAAACCCCCCCTGTTATCTCCTCCCAAATCACATTTTAAAAAATATTTTATTTATGCTTGGCAGTGACTAAAGTGCTTTTGGGTGCTATAAAAATAAAAGTACCCACAGGAGACAGACAGGTTCTTGGGGGTCAGCATAACAATCTGCAGCAAGCACACCCATGCAGGAATGACTTAAGTCCAACATCCCAGGACACGGATATAGAAAGCTGTTGCATATGAAAGAAGAGATGAGCCCTGTGGCAACAGATGCCTCCAACCAGAGCACCACAGTCTTTACCATAAATTTGTTTACCTCCAGTTCTGTAAAGTGGGCATCTTTATGGGTGTCTAGTTTCTCCCTAAACAAAGTGGTATTATACTGTGTGGTACCAGCTCTCCACAAGAATGCAAGAAATCTTCAGATTTTTTTTTAAATTCAAAATATTGCAACATGCTAACAATAAATAGTAAAACAACAAGAGTTAAATATTGAAATGCATTACCATACCTGACATATTCTAATTGCTTGGTCCAGCACTGTCTTTGTATCAGTTGCATAATCTGGACAAGGCAGCATGGCATGACTGAAGTGGGCTTGCAGCAGGAGGTGTGTTTTTGTGTGTGAACTATCAAATGAATGGGGATTGACTTCAATGGGAAGATGTTTGGCCAGTTCACTGTTCATCTGATCTTCATTGTGTCTCACAGGCAGATCTGTGTACTCCTCAGCATTCTTTAAAAAAAAAAAAAAAAGTAAAAAATTAACCACTCTAACTTCAGTATGATTATTATTATTTACTAAGACATTAAAAGAATACGCATTTAATTTACTACAGTTAGATTCCATTGCTAAAATAGCAGCATATTAATGTTTAGAAAGCATACTTATCAAAATCACATGTGTGGGAAAACAATAGCTAGTAAAATATTGACAAATTTTCACACAATTATAGGTTTTAATTTTTTTTCCACATAGCTGATTTTAACATTAGAGAAGAAGCAAATAAAAACAGTGAACTAAATACATTCATTGGATAGCCTCAGTATTTGGGATGACCTTCTACAGATATCCTATCCTGACTGGCTCACAAAACATTGCAAGTCTAGCTATAAAGAAGACAATAATTCACATTTTCAGTTTTCAGGGTTTCTACTTTTCTCTTTGTATTCAAAGCATCGTGTGTTTGAAATAGTGTTGGTAAGGTTCTTTAAAAATATAATTTCAATCTTTTGAGCTGTCAGTGTCCAAGCAACAGATGATCAGAGATCAAAGCAAAGAGCAAAATTGTAAGTAGGTGCTGACAACGATCCTCTGTGCTGCAGACTGGGACTGATACCATTAATGCCAAAATGAAAGTGCTCTAAGAACTTTCTCACTGTTGCAAAAAGGAGTTGTACACCATCAGATAATGTTAATGTAGTTATGAGCAGCAACGTCCTTGGGGCTGAGGAACAAGTATGATTGTTCTAGTAGCCAGAGCAAAGATGTTCATTCTCCTGCTAAGGAAATCCAGTGTCTCTAAAAGAAAGAGAATTCAACAGAAGCATCCTAAGAACTACAATTTAGGCTGAAGAGTCAGTTCTGTGACTTAACTGGTCATTTTTTTTCCTCCACAAAATCCTCTTGTGCATGTATGCGTACATATTCCTGTTTGGAATGAGAATGATGTTTCTATAGTATAAAACTTGCAAGTAACATAAGAGTTTTATAATACGTGACATATTTTCCATCTGTAATTTAAGAGAATGTATTTCTTTTGACATAAAATAAAAAGTCATTTGGGTAGCCCAAAGGGCAGTATCTTATGAACTATGGGCTTAGCAGAGACCATTAAATTAAAGTGTTCAGGGTTTTATATTCCTCTTAAACTATAGATTTGATATTATGCATTTTAGTCTTCAATCTCCAGTCAGACTTCCTGCAAATCCATATTAATGAAATATTCACAACAGTAACCAATGGAGAGTGAGGTAAAGACAAATGGCAATTTTAGAACACCTAATAGCACTACCTAATTGACTTGCAAAGTACTGTATCCACTCATTAATAACCTAACACACGGAACCTTTTTGACAATTCCTAAAAACAGTTATACTACTGTTTTTCACCCCCTTGAAAACTGATAGCACAAAATTTTCTGTTTTCTTTAACGGCACAATGAAGCTACACCTAAATGGTGATATAAATGTAAAAGGAAAGGCAAGTATTAGACAATTTAAGATTTGGAAAGAAAATAAGAATGCCATTAATTTATTTCATATCTTGACTGCAGATTAGAAGTGAAGACTGACTAAAGACTACTGCTGCTTAATCCTGGATGTCTCTGCTAGATCTCTTGTGAAAACTGTGGTCATTTATTCTCTGAACCTAAGGTCACAATCTTTTTAAGCCCTATAGAAGGCTGCATGTTTGCTTCACTCTTTTTATTTAGCTGGCTTCTCCTTCAAAGGTATTTTAAAGAATATTTACCAAGGAGATTTTTTACTTAGATTTGCTTTGCAGTTTAAAGTAGCAGAAAGAAGACAGATCAGCCAAGTCACTCCAGACCAATTGGTACTCCTGAAAATGTGTTTTCCCTAATTCTTCCCCAGCACATGTTTTATTTACCTCCAAAACACTCCTCTTATTTTAAACAACTTGCCTACTTAATTTCCTGTTTGTGATCATTGACTGTAAGTAAGTGAGGTTCATTTTCTTATCTGCATCATGTAGGTAATTAAAGGAAATTGAGAATGGGTAGTGAAGCTTTTATACAACTGAGAATGAAGCTGAATGGAGGGCACCGGGGTCAGCAGAGTCCATTATATTTTTATGTGAGAGGCCAGTATGTCTGCCCTGTCCTTGTTTGCTTAGTGTAGGCTGGACAGACTACTAACTGCAAATCTGTTTCTCTGATTTGCCCAGCTGTCCTTGAATAAAGACATCTTCCATTGGAAAATGTTAAATGACAGTGATTGACAACTCTGTGATGAACTCTGCTTGTAACCCCCTGCTACTGTTTTCAGGTTGCACAAGAAAAGACAGAATAAAGAAACATCCTTTGTAATCACCTCAAATGGGCCCTGCTGTTCACTCAATATTTTTTCATTTTAGTTTTCCTTTTCATTGTGAACCTCAATCTGTTCTGCAAAGGCTATAGCTTCAACTATTCCACAAAATATATAATATATATTATTTTAGTACATTGTATCTGAATACCATTCTTGCTTCTATGAGTGAGGAAACAGATCAAATTACATATCAATCATTAATCTTCATTTTAAAGTCAAGAAACTTTATAGTTAAACCACAAAGCACTGTTGTGTATTTTTCACTTTCCCTTTTCTTCTGTTAAATCAGGACTATTGCAGCTCACGTGCAAATAATATGTTTATAAGCACATAGATGTTTAAGCATAACTTGGAGTATGCCAGGAGATAAGTAGGAATTTTAGCTATAGGCTCTGCAGTCATGCATTTCGTAGTCATGTCATATCTCTCTTTTCTACAGGTCTGTGATGGACTTTCCCAATAATGTCTTCGTTTGGGCATTAGAGACTGCTGCCTCGTTTCAAGGGTGTAAGAGTCCTCTCAAACCTACATTTCAACCTGTATGCGATGCAGGGTCATATAGGAGACAGCGACTTGCTTTGCCAGTGAGAAATGTCACATATAGACCTGCATAAACTCAACAGTTGCCTTTTACAAGGCTAAAGGGCTGCTCTGATAATTGAATTCTGTTTCCTGCATAACACCAGCCACAGAATCATCTTAAAGTCCTATCTGCAACATCATGTCCCAGGTATGCAGCTTACCATCACTCTCTATTTGAATTGTTAGAATGGTTCTAAAAGTAAACAACTCATCCCATTTTAAAATACATCTTTTGCAGTTTTCTGGTATTATGAGGCATTTGAGGGGTAAGACTGAAATAAAATTTAAATAAGGTATCCAACATGGTGAGTACTATGCTCTGCAGCGTCCATAGGGTTAAGAAAGAAAGATTTTCTTTCTACCCACAAAATGTGTAAGTTTGGCTGAAATTACTGATTTATAGTGAGAGCTGAACTATAAAATTATACGATGTGTAAACCTTCTGAAATATTTTAAATCTCAAGTAACTACATCTTGCCATCTGTTTACAAGAAAGAGGATACTGGTGGAGCATAGAAATGGGATCAAGGTGAGCAACTACAGTAAACGTGAATATTTTAAGTTCAGTTCAGTCATGGGAACAGTAAAACTTATAAAGTTAATGAGTTCTAGACTTTAAAGAGCAGTTGATTAATTTGTAACAATGAGGGTCTAACACAAACCTAAAATAGTTTCTCACATTCCAGAGTTGAGCCAGTAGTCTTTTCTTTAGCAATGCTGTTACTGAAACTACCTTAGAATTGACTGACTGCCTGTACATTCCTTTTCTTTCTATAGGTACAGAGAACGCAAACACTGTATTTTCAATAATAAACTTGCAGCGTGTTTTGCTTTCTTTCAAGTTTCTGATGTAAAAAGAAACAAGGGAAAAACATTCTTAGAAATTTTGATACCAAAATTAAGACTCATTAAGGTAATGTATGAAAAAAAACTTTCAGTAAACTAGTAGTAAGGTTAACTACCAGAATAATGAAAAAGGAGAAAGATAAGGACAATTTTTTAGCTAATATAGTAATTGCATCCTCTTCACCTGAACCTTGGTTTAAATTACATAAACTTCTGGTAGCTTGAGTAGCACATGCTGAAGGACTGCAAAAATCATTCATTTGTGCATTGAATGAAAAATAAAAAATAATCTGCATTAAATAAATGTGGGGTTTTTTACAGCTGTTTCACAATTAACACTAATACTACATTACAAAGTAAATTTTAGTTCTCTGCTAAAGTTCAAAGGTATGCCAATATGCATAAAAGAAGTTCAAAGGTATGGCAATATGCAATTTATTTTTTGAAGTGAAAACAGCATGTTTTGATCTTTAAGTAACTGGATAGGCAAATATAAGCTCAATAATAATATTATTATATAATTGGATTTTGGTTTTTGTTCCATTGTACAAAGCACTACAAAGTATTTTAGTGCAACATCCTGACATATCACTTCCACAAAGTGCTACAGTTCATAGGAAGCAGATGAACTCCAATCTATCCACATTTGAGTGATACTTATGGTACCCTTAGTACAGGATAAAGCAGCATGGTGAAAACAGAGAAATAACAAACACTGATAGTTTGTGAGTAGCTAGGTAACTGGATAATAATGTCTTATAATAGATGTACAAATTCTAAATTTATCTTTGAGGATACTTCTGTCCTTGAAAACATTAGAAATTATTTCTGTTTTCTTATATATACATATATATCTCTACATTCATGTGCTGACAAAAGTCTCATTTGACCCTGTTAACTATATTATAAGGAAAATTAAAAAATAGCTTAACTAAAGTTCACGAGTTAATCTTCCTTTGCCCATGCCCTTCCCAAGAACACAAGACCATCCTGTGTGACACAACGACACAAGTATATATTATGAAAATTATTTAAATTAACCAATGTATTTACATTATATTTTACCATCACATTTTCAAATGTGAGTTTGATTTATAAGGAAAGACATTAAATTTACACAGACGTATCCTGGCAGGCAGCTGGAACACAATCAAGCTTACATTTATATTCAGAAAACAAGTAACTGTGAGAAAACATGTGCTTTAAAAAAAAAAAAGAAAAAAGGAAAAAAAAAAAGGGAAAAAAGCCCAAACT